AACTTATCGAATCGGCAGAATAATCATTCGGGTTAATTTTTTGCCAGGTGTCCCAGGAATAATGATAACAGCTGTAAGCACAGAGTAGCCCGCCACAGTTAAATATTCCCGGGCCGCCCCTCTTCGCTTTTAGTGGTTAAATGATTAAGCACAAAAACTAACTTTTTTTTATTTATCCCTGCTTTCACTAAAGCATGAAACTCATTGACAGACGGCTTTAAATCAGCCAAACTGACCCCGTTGGCTGGATTACTAAATTAGCCACCTTGGCTATTTCCAAGGTTCCTTGGCTAGTGCGGGCAGGACCATCAATTATAATTAAGTCAAAAAATTTTCTTTGCTGAATAATCTCTTTAAAGGTAGTAAAGAGATTAACAGTTAAATATTTGTTTTTTGTTTTCTTCTTTGGCTTCATTCTTGGCCAGTTTTTGCTGGGGGTCGTAGTCTGCTAGTAGAGTTTTTAATTTTTGTTGACTGGCCTGGTGGCTAATGCTTGGCTTAAAGTTGATTTTCCTACTCCTCCTTTTTGGGAGATAAAAGTGATTATTGTCATGATTAATCAATTGGATAGATATTCCTAATTCATAATAGTCATTAGTTCCGTCCTTAAATCAGAAATAAAAACAATACTTCTTTTCTTGGTAAGTAGTTTCGTGTTTCAAAACTTTTCTTGCTCCAGAATATTCTAAGGGTTTGGCTTTTTTATTATGAAATATTTTTTCCAGTATTTCTAAAATCAATTTGTTAGTAATTCATTCACGATTTAGATAATGGTTGGTGATAGTAATAGCAATTATTGCTTGATAATTAAAAGTGATACTTAATTCATAAGTCCATTGTCATTCTTTATTTTCTTCGCTGAAATGCTTATCAATTAATTTAACGGCTTGGGCATGAACTGGTTTAGGTTTTAAAATCACTTTTACCTGGATAGGTTCTAATAATCTACTGGCATATTCTACTAATCTATCCAAAGTAAAATTTTTTAATACAACGAACAGAATATCCTCTGTCTCCGCCTTACTTAAATATATTTTGTCTGCCGCTTGTTCTCATATCAGGTTATTTTTTAACTTATAACCTAATATCTCCTGACAGATTTCAAATTTGGCAACTTGAAAGATTAATAGTTTTATCTGGCTATAAAATTCGGATAAAAAAAAAAAAAAATCCGGTTTTAAAATTCGGATAGCTATTTTTTAAAGTGGATATCTATCCGATATCCGTTTAAGTATCCGGATCCAATCACTAACTGGAAGACAACTGGAACTCTACTGGAAGAAAGTTAATAGTACTACTGGAACTTTTACTATTACAAATTTCTACTGGAAGCAAAAATTAATAACACTAAAGTAAGCTTTGTAACTGAATTTTTTTTTTACTAAATCATAATTCTAATGCAAACCAACTCAATATTAATCATGCGTGTGGTTACTAGAATAGCGAATAAATTTTGTAAAAAAAAATTTTATACCTTATAATAGAAATCAGAAGTGGAGATAGAGATTGAGAATTATATAAGAGAATCTCAAGAATGACATTATTACGCCCAGGTTTAGGGGTGCAGTACTTGGGCATACGCAGATTAGCTTTGAGTGTAGTATAGGGTTATGCGGGATAGATGTTTATTATAAGTCCAGATTTAATGATGGTCAGCTATTAAAGAAAGTAATCGAGTATGTAATTACTTTATTTATTTGATCGATCGATCTACAAAAGTTTTTTCCTTTATATTGTATATGTACATTCTAGCTTCAAGAAGTTTGAACCCTATTGTAAGTCTTGAATTTCAAATTACTGCTGCTTTAAAACTCAGTTTCTGAGTTTCGAAGCCATACATACCACATCATAATAAAAGCGTTAATGCCATATAGAATAATATAAAAAGAAAATTTATGTGCAAATTTTTTATAACATACGAAAAACGATTACCATTTTATTGCAGGGGCCCAATTTTCACTTGTAATAAATAAGCGAACTTCGTTTCTATCATAAAGTAATACAGTCATAGTAATTTCCTCTCATAATAGAACTTGCATCTAACCCGCTTAACTGATTATTTTTTTTTCAATTATCAAATCAACAACAAATCGATTACTGTTACATTTATTTATGCTGATAAATTAGCCCATCCCAGATGATAGAGGTTTTTCTTGAATACAATATCAATAAGGTTATACTGTATAACTATTTAAAGTTTAGGATAAAATATAGTATAGATGACACCTTAAAAAATAATCAATTGATTTAAAATAGATGTCATATATACTACATTTACAGTAATCCAAAGTTTATTATTCTACTAAGATTTATATGAAAATTTTTACTCAAAAATTTGGTATAAATTTATATATAATTTTGATTTTATTAGTCAAACACCCCACAACTATCACTAATAGAATGTATTAGTAGAACGATATATTTAATACCTCTACGTACTCAATTATGAATATGTCAATGAATAACAACTTTTAGGCATTTAAAAATAACGAAAGCATTACAGTACAAAAAAAAAAAGTTATTGCGGCTTTAATTGATACAATTACCGTATAACTGCGAAATAACGCGTTATTTTGAATTTCGGCCCGAAATAAGTTTAATTTAGGCTGAAATTCGAAATTACACCCTTACACGCTATTTCACGACTATACGGTATAATTTATATTACTTGTCACTAATCATATCATTTCGACAAAGATTTCTTATTGAATCATTTGGGTTTCGGATTTAACTTAATTCGAAAATAAGTAGAAATTTAAAAGATCCAGGTGATGCAGATCACACAATAGTAAAACCATTGTGTACTTATTGTCATTTCATTGTATGCTATATTTGTTCAATAATTTCACCATTGCTAATGAATTAATGTTGAATTGGTTAAATTGGAAAGATCAATTTCACTAGCACCTCTAATTGTGGTGCGATTTCTACTTCATTTGGGATAATAATGAGAAAACCAAAAAAGCCCGAGTAGGGTTGTAATAACTTACCTGACAATGTAACTTACATTGTAAGTTACATCGTAAGTTACATGACCCTATGTAAGTTACAGAATATATCATCGTAAAGCAGGACGGCTTTGTATTAACGCTGACCAGAATAAATTTAGCCTGCATTAAGGTTATTAAAGGATGAAATTTACTTACCTTACATGGTAACTTACATAACTTAAAATGTAACTTACATTTTAAATATAACTTACAGTAAGTTATACAACCCTAAACCTAAGTGATTTAACAACTAGGCAGGTATGCAGAATAAAAGCAACATGTTAAATCTAATTGTTAAGCTATGCAAAGTTAATTTTTATTCTGCTTTACCCGTTGACTTATTTTTCAACTTTTTTTTTTTTGGACCCTATTGTGCTAATTATTCTATTTTTGCTATTTATTTTTTTCCATAATATATTTGCTGTTACTTGACGGAGGCCTTAATTTCTAAAACTATGCTATGTCTGATTAAAAAAATTAACAAATTAAAATTAATAACAGACAATAAATTATTTGGCTGTGGTTTGCCTACCTAGTAATAAAATTATTAAGCAGAGATGAAAGGTTTAAAGTTTTGACTATTTTCTCTGCTCAATAATACCAGCAACAGTGATATATAATATCACGAAGTTTTTTAGTGATGTACTGTACGTCTGAATTTGGGTTTCAGAGTTTGTGGACTACAACAAAATTTTAAACTTCCGCAATCAAAATATGAAGTGCATATATGGATTCCGCTATTTAATGTTTACGTGCACAACTAACTTTTATAAATTTTTATAATCCGCAAGTCATTTTATAATTTGTTGCAACTAAATTAAAAACCTATATTCACTAGCAATATAAATTTATTTAGAGATTTGTTATTAATTTGTTATCCATACTCAATTTTTAAACTTTGAGTCATGTTATCTTGACAACTACTAAGTTAATTTTAATGAAATTATTTTATTTTAATTCTGCTAATCTGTAGATTTCAAATAAAAAAATTCTTCAAATTTGGCTTGGTGGGTGTCGAGATATCTTAAAAGTTTTAAATAAAAGCTGCGCAAATTTTTGTTAAACTTTGAGCGAAGGTATCTAAGCCAAATTTGAAGAACTTTTTTTATTTAAATTCTACAAATCTCTAGAAATCAAATAAAAAACGATCATTGAATTTGGCTTAGTAGGTATCAAGATATCTTCACTCAAAGATTTAAAAAATTCAAAACGTTCATCAAAAAGTGAAGATATCTCGACACCACTAAGCCAAATTCAATGAACTTAATTTATTTAAATTCTACGAATACGTAGAAGTCAGATAAAAAAAAAGCTCATCGAATTTGGCTTGGTATTTGTCGAGGTATCTTTGCTCAAAATTTTAAAAATTCAAAATATTTATCAAAAAGAAAAGCCGCGCCAAACTTTTCTTAACTTTGGGCTAAGATATCTCAACACTCCATGTCAAATTTGATAAAATTTTTTATTTAATTCTAAGAATCTTTAGGATTCAAATAAAAAAAGGTTATCGAATTTTGTTTGGTGGGTGTCGAGATATATTCACCAAAGTTTAAAAAAAAGTTGGCACAGCTTTTCTTTTTGATAGACATTTTGAATTTTTTAATCTTTGAGCGAATATATCTCGACGGCCACAAACCCAAATTCAAGGAACGTTATTTTATCTTAATTCTACAGATTTGTAGAATTTAAATAAAAAAAATTTCATCGAATTTGGCTTGGTGGGTGTTGAGTCAAAGTTCAATAACAATTTGGTGCAGCTCTTATTTAAAACTTTGAGAAGATATCTCGACACCCACCACGCCAAATTCGATGAATTTTTTTAATTTAAATTCTACAGATTCGTAGAATTAAAGGGTAAAAAATTTCAATATATAGGGGGGTATGATAACAAATTTGGGGTTGTAAATAACAAATCCCTTTATTTATTACTTATTTTTACTGTATGTATAAATCGATTATATTATTATTAGCATATGTTTAGTCAGGTCCTTATGCTAAAAAAAATGAGAAGTATTTACTATCGTGCGGATCTGCATCACCTGATCAATTCCGGTCAAAATCGCATATCATTTGACCAGATTTAAACTGGTTTGTTCTAGTTCTGGCCAAATGATCTGCAAATTTGACCAGAATTATAAACGATGGGTTCCTCGATTTATTAAACCCAGTGTTACTATCGTAACTAAGGTTGTGTTACATAAATTACAATTTTACATTACACGTAAGTTTCAGAAAATCGAATTTCATGTAATTTTCACACGGCATACATGAAACTCCAGATTTACAAAATTTCGGCAGCATTTTTGCAACTCCTAAAACGCCGAAAATTTGATCTCAGAAACTAAATGTCATGTATTCAAAATTACACAAAATTACGTAAAATTACTGATTAAAATTACATTTCCATGTAAATCCAATTTACCGA